CGTGACCTCGCAGCGCGAGGACGCTGACGTCCTGATGAGCCGCCGAAAAGGCGCCGAGCACCCTCTGGGGATGCCTTATGTGCCGCTCTCTGGTCGGCGCTGCGCCCAGCAGGCAGTCAAAAGGAGCAATCCACGGCCGAAGGGACGGCCTAGCTCAATCGGCGACTCTGATTTTGATCAAGGGGAGATGGAAAATGAGCTTAATGAATTGGAGATAATGAACGAGTCTCTCGATGCGCTTCGCCTGAGAGTGTGCTGCACCTGCAGCTGAGGCAATGCCCCGTCGCAATAGGGATAAGTACAAGTCCAGGACTGCGCAGCAACCGGTAGAAAGAACAGGATCCCTTTATTATGGAAGGCGGAAATAAGACGTCAGTTTTGTTGATGCGAGTCCTGTTCAATATACAAGTGCATCCGCACATTTGGAATTGCTTTGTGTGGCGGAATATTGCCGTTGGTGGACATACAGATGATTTGAATCAGCAGAGGATATGTCAAGCGAAACAGGGAACCGACAACCACCTATTCTCGACCATGCTTCACGTTTGGTGAGGTATTAAAACGCCTTCCGGCTAAAGGATAGGTGAATCAGGACATCCTGGTGAAGATGCGATGTTGATCTTAACGCCTTAAGTTGGCAAACTTTTACATCCAGCAGGCAGCGTTTTTGTGTGGCGCACAGATGAACGTTGCAGTAGTCCTGCGACTGCGAGGCTGTCTGTGATGGAACAGTTGCGAAGTTACGTCGGATGGCACCATGATATTCAAAATGCTGTCTCTTTATCAAGAAGAGCTTTGGTGATGTGGATCATTGAGTTGGAGCTGCGGAGTGGTCGATCGCCGGGTGCGTGCTTGAGTGAGAATGCGGAGAGCGCCGTGTCAAGTCATCAGTTATGATGTGTGCCACTAACTGCTGCCAATGATTATTGGTGAAATGGAACAGATGTGTTTCAGATGTAATCTGCGGCAGCGAACAGTCCGTCGCGATCACTGGAACTGCACAGCAAGGAACATTTATTGCTTATTGTCTGGAATCCAGAAATCGGATTCCAATCATTGGAGGATGGACGGGTGTCTTTTCCCAGAACACGTATGCTTAATGTGGCCATTTAACTCTCGCTGGGTTCAAGATTTCAGGCATGAAGGGATGGGAACAAACCGATACGCACATGTCATGCAAAGGCGCATGCCAATGACATGTGCACAGAATCAATACGGACATGCACTTACACATTATGTCAAGCAGCACACGGACAGACGCAAGGAAAATTACAGGCAGATACAATGTCCCTATCCCAGTTGACGGAGATCGGCATTTTTAGGACCTCCACAGCCGCGTTTGTTCTGGTTTTCCTTGGAATATCCAGTCTTCTGGAATCATGGGTCCGTAGGAAGGGCGTAACTGAGCGAGAACTTTCAAATACATAAATGTCGCAAGCAGCGACATGCTGAGGCCATTTTCCGTCGTATGTAAAAAATCCATCTTTTGATCCCGTTAACCATGGCGATGCACGTGCAACAGCAATCAAAATCTGTTTGAGAACAAATTTAAAGCTTACAATCAAGTGAGCAACAAAATATGAAGAAAATTGAGCCTTGGCTTCGTTTCACATTTTACGTACAAGATGCCCTTCGTAAGATTGCTGAGCTCCTATGGCTAAGTGCTTCGTGAACTGAGCGATTGACTCCAAATTTGAGACTTCATTGACTGGTCTGTAGGCCTGACTTCTGCCCGTGTTGCCTCTCCTTCCATGCTATCAATTTCCTCCAGCCACGAGTCCCTAAGATTTCTCAACGGCCACCGGCGCGCAAACTGCTCGCTCGGCCCTCGGCTTCTCGTTCGCGATAAGGCAAATGGCTACCCGATGAGACAACAGCGGGCACAAGTCTGCACGCAATTCACAGCAACTTCGCTCCTTTCCGCCACCCAATCCCCCGCCTCTCACCTTCCCCGCTCTCGCACTTCGCCCCCCCTTGCCGCTCAGCCCCACGTCCGCAGGCGCTCCCTGTCGCGGCTCCTAACCCGACGCACAAACTGCTCGGGGAACGTCGGGTTCGCCCGGCAGCACCTGCGAAATGGGATCTCCTCGTACCCCCTCTCCTGCCGCACCTCCCATTCGAGCCTCCCCGCGACCTCAACCAGCGCCGCAGCCGTGGCGCGCAACACCCCCACGTGGCTCAAGTGCTGACGCGCGAAGCGGCGCATGCTCTGCACCATCTCCTCGCCCCGCCCCGGGGCCTCAAGGCGCCAGGCGAGCGCGGCCTCAAGGGACGGCAGGAGGTCCGAGAGGTCGGGCTCAAAGTACAGGGCGTGGGTGCCATTCGCCAGCAGGTGGCTGTAGTAATCGGCGGCGGCTGCGGGGCGCTGTTTGAGGAGGGGAGTGTTGAAGAGGGCCAGCCTGGTGAATTGGGGGCTCCACGGGGATGCGTCGGCGTCGACGATGACGTCGAAGTCGTTGAGGTCCTCCATGGCGATGGGAGGCGCGTCCGGCGCGGAGCACTCCAGCAGGTTTTGGACTTTTGGGTCGGACATATTCAGCTGGGTGCATAGCAGAAACTCGTCGCTTGCGTAAAAGAATCGACAATTTGTGGAGGGTGGCAACGCCAAAGCTCAATTGAGTGCATCACATAATATTCTGAGTGAGGCTTTGACATTTTCGCTTGAAGTTCTTTGAGTGAAGCTTTGAAGCCTCACTTAAAGTATTACGTAAAGCATTTATTTCATTGTCCAATGTCGACTGGAGGTGGAGGGCTGCTCTTTGCGCAAAATGGCAATCAAGGCGAGTATTTTAGGTGATTGACCTAATTCAATTCGATGCACGCTCACAGTGGTCTGCTTGGCCTATATAGGCAGAAAATATATGAGTTTATATGCTAGACCATATATGATCTATATAGGTAGAACATAAGTTCATAGGAAAGGCCATAAACATGAGTATAGATATGTAGATATATAGGTAGGAACAAAGGTCCAATACGGGGAGAAAATATATGAACCTATATGCTAGAAGATATGTGTTTTCTTTGTGTTCTGTTTGGGCCTTTTGGGGGCCTTTTCAACAGTGGAGACCGTCGCAGGAAGCAGTGCCTGCAACCCACCCTAATTGTGAGAGCGACGGCAAGGCTTTAAGGCTCTAACCTTGGAGGAGCTGCTAATGTGAAAAGAAAGTTTCTTCTTGCACTAGTTGGTTTCGCTACACCAGAACGACGCTCAGCTTAAAAAGAACGCGTTCTACGCTGCGGCAGTGTGCAAGTGCCAAAACTTCAAGTCTCGATAGTAAGAAATCGCATATGAGAATGTACATGTGGCGCAAATGGTGGGATAAGATAGAAAATATGGTATGTGGTACGTTGCGGTACAGGCATGTCAGTGGCCAAACAGCGTAATCGCTTTGGTGCTAGGTCAATAATTTGACAAAGCGGTTGTTCTACAAACACACCGACCTGATGAATTTGATAGAATGGCATAAATGCGTAAATTACGTACATCGTGTTGAGAGGCACCCAAGTGTTATTTTCAAACGCGTTTTCGGCGTTGCGTCCTCCTGCGTCTTCCTTTCAGAAAAAAGAGGCGATGACGTCTTTCTTTCTTTTCTTTCGTTCCCGGCTGGTGTGGCCCCACCTTTCCGCTGGAGGCTGTCCCCACGGCCACACACCCCTCGCCTTGCCGTCCTGGCCGCGCCAGCCCCGCGCTCGCCTCCTCCCCACTCGACGCCGACAGCCCCCCCTGCCCCGGGCCGGCCCCACGCCACACACCCCTGTGTCTTCTCCCCCCTGTCGGGTGCCTGGCGTCCAGGCACCTCTCCGCGACACCCATCTGCCTGGGCCCCAGGGCCTCCGCGAAGGCCGCCCACGACGGCACAGCGAAACCACCCCTTTCACACTGGGCGTCGGGCGCGTAACTCAGCGCTGGGACTCCGCAAGGATTGGCGTCCCCGTAGTTGACCGCGAAGTCGACGTCCGGGATCTCGAACATGTGAGCAGCCATGAGCAGCATCTCCACCATGGCGGCGTGGCGGAAGGCCACGGCTGGGTTGGACCGCAGGGAGCCCCACCCCGGGCCGGACCGCCGCACGGAGAGCCTGCCGCCGATCAGCTTGAAGATGGCTGTGGTGGAATGCGCCTCAGCGCGGGAAAAGTCATCCCAAGATATCTGGCCGTCCCATCTGAAAAAGGCGGGCCCATTTGGGGGGGAACCCGCCAGGGGCCGCACGCCCGTGAGGGCGTACCTGCCGGTGTAGGGCTCCGTCGTGCGGGCCGCCACCTCTAGGCACGGGCCCCTGGGGATCCAGCCCTCCTGCCCCTCCCCCGGCGTCGCCTTCTGCCGGCCGGCCGCCAGGAACAGCAGGCCCACGACCGGCGCGCAGGTCGCCGCGGCGCCCAACAGCGCCAAAAGTTTGCGGCGATGCATTCCGGGGCGCCGCGTTGGCCGATCGGCCGTCGCCAGCGGGGGCGTCGGCGGTATGAGGCAGCCGTCGCTGTGTGCCTGAGTTCGATCTTGTGACCGTGTGCACCCTAGGGGGCGATGAGGGCGAGAGCTGCTCGGACTGCCCGCGCCTGGGAGGTCGGTCCTCCGCTCTCCGCCTCCTTCAGCGTGGACTGGCAGAGGTGGTGGGGCCGGAGGAGGGTTCTCCACCTGACGACTCTGACTCCAGCCATGCTGGCTCCAGCGCAGGGCGGGCGAACTCGTTCTGATCATGTACAGAATGCCTCCCGCTGGGTGATTCTTCGCTTCGGAAGCCTGTGGCTTGTGTTCACTGCCCGACGCCCAACAAAGTCGATGTCCGACTCGTATTACCCCCCAGATATTACCCCATCAGAGTATTGACAAGTTTGACTCACAACCACCTTGCTGTTTCCCCAAGCCACTGCCGACAAGTGCGGCAGCCCCCACCGCCCCCCGCTGCCCCCCACCTTTCCCCCCGCCCCTCCGCCGAGCGCCTGGCCCCCGCCGGGTCGATCGGATGCCCTCCCGCCGGTGCCTGGCGCCCGTGGCGGCGATGGCCACCCTGGCGGGCCTGGCCCTGGTCCACCTGCTGGCCACCGGCGTGATGCAGAGCGGCGCCGCGCCATCGCCGTGGCCGTCACACGTGGCCAGGGGAATCATGGCTCGCGCTCGGGCGCGCTTTCCGGGAGGCAGGCGGCATGAGATCGCCAATATGCCATCCTGCGCGGATTACGCGAAGGGCGTGATCGAGCCGTTCACGGGCGAGTACGCGATGTATAGAGAAAAAGTTGAGGTTGAGGAGGGTGGGGGGCGCGATGGGGGCGGCACGTTCTTCAGGTGGGAGGGGGAGATTGAAAAGGACGATGTGGAGAGGCTGGAGAGTTGCTGGTACTGTGGAGGCACTGCGGCGTTCAAGGTTGTGGAGGGGCGGCTGTACGTGCGGCGGTCGGGCCGCGGATGGGGGGAGCTGTGGGAGAAGCCGGAGCTGGAAGTCAGGTGCGGGGGAGGGGGGGGAGAGGGGCGGACTCGGGGAGCCAGTTGGTCCTGTTGCCTCGTGTATTTTAAACACAGTCTTTTTGGCGGGCAAATCTGCCGAGGCACCCCAAAGACGAACTGCGAAAGAGGGTGCGCATTCGATCTGCTGTCATGTTTGGGCCCAGTGGGCCGGCGTTGCTGAACCTTTAAGAAGAGTTCAGGAGATTTTACACCCTGGCAGAAGAGTGTGGAGGCACGAGAGGCACGTGGTCTGAGGTGCATGCAAGTCCTTGCTGCAAATAAGGTGTTTTGAGACCCATCGCTGGGTGCCAAGAGCGCTTGTGGCGACCGCATGCACAGTGAGGGGACAGTGCCTTGAGCCGAAAGAGGCCTGGTGGTGCTGCCAGGGCTGACAGGTTCCCCTGCAGAGTATCACTTGCAAAATGGGCCTTCCTTGAATGCAGCTCATGTCCATCTTGAAACAATGTTGAAATGCAAAAATCGTGAACAGCTGAAATCGCAGGCCATATGATAAAAGGGCAAACTTGTTGAAATGGACACAGAACTGTGCAATCTATCCATCGTGGAGCACACGAATCGGCATGATTGTGTGATGAATGTTCACTCTACGATTTCTGAGAGAACATTGTTGTTGAAGGGTCAAGGCTTGTTTCCTTAGTTCATTTCATTCGGCAAAGTAGCATGCCTTCAGCAACCTGAATGACAATTATCCAAAGAGATAGATGGGAAGAGGACAACTCCTGTAACTTTTGCAGATTAGAAACAGGGCTGAAGTACGAAATACAGAACTCAGTTCTTAGGATTAGATGTTGATCTTTGTACACATTTAACCTGAAGGGGTGCAGGATTCCCGATGCATGTGTGAGGATCAGGAGTCATCCGCAGTGTGGGTGGGATGCTCTGGCAGGCAGACGCACAATGTTCTAACACACACTGCAGCACTGAAGCCTGCAGCAAGATCCCATTTAATAACCCAATTGGTCACTCAATCAGCCAATCGACGAATGAATCAGGCCGACAAGCAATTTTCATTCAATCGTTCGATCAGACCATCCATTTTTTCTTTATGTGGTGGTTCAAAATGACGGTTCAGGGCCCCACGGCTGTTGAATCCTGCATCCTGGACGGGGTCCGCAATGCCAGATACCAGGCAGCGGTGGAGATGCTGCTGATGACCCTGCACCTGTTTGCAATACCCAACGTGGATTTCATCGTAAATCTGGAGGACAGAAACTACTGTGGCATGCCGGCGCTGACGTACGGGCCCAACCCTGGCTGCCAGAAGGCTGGCTTTGCAATGCCTTCCTGGTCCACATACATAAACTCAAGGGGGCCGCAGCAGCTGGAAGCAATGTTCGAATGCCTGCAGGTGCGCAGAGCTGTTGATTGCTGTGATACATAAATTGCCCGCTCCACAAGATTTGCGTCTGCTTCCATCTTTCGATATTGCTTGCAAACTGATTGATAATCCACTTGAATTGCAGCATGATCTAAATTCCATATAATTTGAATTATGACATCGAATCTGGCCTGAGTGCATTTTGCCCATTGGAAAGAACTTGTTCCATTGGATTGTTGCATGTCCTTATGTGCTTAAGCACATTGATCCCAAATCATTTTGCTGCCTTGTTTGTCCGCCAAGTCCCAAATAGCTCTGGCCTGCACTGCCTATCAGACTAAGTACCCACGTAAAGGACGAGCAAGGAGGGCTGTATGGCGGGGCTCCACAACTGGGTTCTCCTCACTCAACACATCGAACTACATGATGAACACACGTGTGCGGCTGGCCTTCCTGGGGCGGTTCAACACTCACCTCATGGATGCTGGGCTATCATCCTACGTGCAGGTAGGGCTTGCAATGGTTCCTATGCTAATTTCGGCATCATGTTCATCGGAAGGCAACTGTGGTCCTTAATGTTGCAACAATGGTGCAATGGCCGATCCACAATAGCACTGAATCAACATTCCATCTCAGTTTCATTGTGAATGATCGTTGATCAAACATTGTGCAAAGAGGATTGTTTTCGGACTTGGTGGTCTTGACTGAGAGCCTCTGAAATTGTGATGCTACCAACGAAATAGTGTGGTTTATGCAATATGTGGATCTAGAAACTGCGAAGCGGAATGAACTTCAAAATGGAATGAATGTTTCATGTGATATTATCATCGCATTAGTTTAGGCTATTGTTACTTCGATGATTACCTTCAAGAACAACTAGCAACGGCATGGACTGAGAGCCTGACGCATTTGCCGCAACACCTGCATGCCAGTTGAATCGAAGCGACGAGCACGTTGTAGAGGTCTTGGAGAGAGACGTGCCCCTTGTACCGAGAATCGAAATGGACGACTTCAACGACTTCGAAGTGATCATAGACCTTGACGGCAATGCGTGGAGCGACAGATTCTCCCAGCTGGTGGTCTTCAACACGCCCCTCTTTAAGCAGGACTCCACCACAAGCAAGGAGTACTATGGCCACCTCATGAGGAACGGCACCCACGTCGTGTATTTTAAAGAAGACTTGTCTGATTTTCTGCCCCGGCTGAGCACACTGCTCGCCAGGTGTCACACAGACCCAAGGTACTGCAATCGGCTGGTCACAAACATGCAGCAGTTTGCGCGAGAGCACCTGAGTCACCTGGGGGTGATGCGCGCGACGGCCCATGCACTGGTCGAGGTGGCCAAGAGGATCTCATGGACACCCGAATTGGATGACGCCTACACGGAGATCCCCAAGAACACCTGCTGCTCGATGAACCCCACGTTCCCCCAAGAACTGGTTGACAGGGTCTCGCCGACGGAAATGGTGGACAGCGCCGTCGCAGAACACTTGTAACAGCGAGGGTCAATTGTACATTAGAGCCACAAGGCAATTTCTTGTCCACCGGTGTACGGGCTTGGCTTGAAACTGTACAGCACGGAAATTTTTGTTTGTCAGTTTTGCTCGCGTGCTGGGATGGAGGCCTCCTCGACATCAGTTTTCCAGAGATGTTCATGATGGCGTGCATTCCCACATCTCTGCATGCTCTGCCATTCATGCGAACGATATTGCAGGAAAGCGACGAGATCAAGGGGATTCTGGTCTTCGTTTCTGTGAATGGGCGGCCGCGTGGAAGTGAGACTGCAGAAGCCCTTGTATCCAAAGGATGCATCATTGGCAATGGTTTTGTTGGGCGACGTATGGAGGAAATCGCCATGTCCCTGCCCTCTGTTGTGTGCGTAGGATTTCGTTACTGACTCATGAGCCACGGGATTTGAAGTCACCACGCATAGCCGCGCAGCTCCATGAGGTTCCTGTGGCGCATGGACAACAACAGGCCCTAGAGCTGAGCTGGTAAGAATCGAACGCCTGGGGCCGTAGAAAACCGTTAAACCTATCACAGACACTGCATTTCCTGGGCAAATTAAGGAGCTGACGGTCAGCTCCTTGCAGGAAATTACAAGTCACTGGCCCTGAGTTCTAATTATTTATATTTTTGATTCGCTGAAATCGATAAGTGTAACCTTCATGCCTCAATCCCGATGAGCTATGGGCCATGTGATTGAGATTTCCGGATATCCAGACCATGAATCAGGTTGCAGAGTCCCTTGGTAAGATTTGTCGTCGTCATCAGCACCAGCATCAACATCATCATATAATATGATGACGACACACGTCACATGATGCCATCTACCTCCTTGCCTTGTTATGTAAGATTTATTCAAACTTTTAACAAGACAAGGAGGTAGCTGTCAGCTTTGGATTTGGCCGAGCAAAGCAGTGCCCATGATTTGTTCGATGAGACTTGACGTTTGACACAAACAAAGTCCAGCAATCTATTTAATTCCTATTTTGGGGAAGTTTTTGTTGATGACAGTACATGGAAACAAGTGCTTTCCCTAGCTGGTGAGCGTAGAGAGAAACAAAATATGTTCCTGCATTGCGAGGTTGAAATAAATTTAGACGAATATTCATCATAGGCATGCACTGAAGGAACAATGTATCTTCTGGTGTTGAGTGACACATTGGACACAATCGCCTTTAAAGCCCGGAATAGGTTGACGTGCTGTTCAACCTCCAAAAAGTGAACCCCACAACGAAAACATATGAAAAACGTCCTCAAGGATATTGGTTGCAATGATGACAGCAATCATTTGTACTGGTACACTGGTTTGATGTGTCTACACAATTAGCGGTACAGACAATTCAGCAATATCACTGAATCCTTGAAGATTGGCTGGAAGAAATGTTGACAACGCAAACATGTTTGTAAATCGGTTGAAAAAAGAATGCACCTCAACTGATTTAGTCTCCCTTGAAAAGAAATCATGCCAGAATGAGTGAAAGGAGGAAATGATACATTCATACCATGATTGAGAATTGGCTGAAAATTGTTGAAATCCAAACTTGAATATGACCCCACGTACCCAAGAGCTGGAAAGTTCCGCCATTCAATTCCAATATCTCATCAGCCGTCTCCACAAGTAAAATTAGTAAATAAACGTCCCGATTTTGATATAGATAATTTCCAATAGCATGCGGCAGGAAGGCAAGAACTTGGCATAGGAACTGGACCTGAACATCAGCGTGCTCCAACTGATTCTATTGAGTCTTCATTATGAAGGGCCCCCAAAAGGAAATCATACCCATTTGAGTCCAAACATATAAAGGGAAAATGCCGTGGGCTACTTTGGGATCCATTGCATGCAGATGTGGTATTCTTTTATTTTCTTGTTGGTAAACTGCTTGTGGGGCCCAGTCTTGCCAGGGATCGGAGGGACTAGAGCATGGGCCTAGCAAAGCGAGGCCTATGCGTAGGTCCCAGAGATGCTTCGCGGGACAGGGGAGGCGAATTGGTATGGCAATGACTTTGATGAACTCTCAATGGAACGTGCCATCAGAGAGTTCCAGGCAGGGGCACCAAGTTGTAGTTGAACATTCCAGAACTTCACCTCCATGGAGCATGAGCACGTTGTTGCATGAGGAGACCACACAGTGCAGCCGTCACAAGGCTGAACCGGAGAGTGGAAGCCCTACGATGATGGGTGAATGGGTACACGCTTCCAAAACTTTGAATGGCACAACAACACAGACCAAGCCACCTGGGCATGGCGTCAGGCTTGGAGGGCGCCAACAACAGAGACCATAACAATTGAAGTACAAATATCAGTCCGACGTGTTCTCCCACAATACATCAAGGTGTGGCTGAAAATTGATTCCACAACTGGAAGAATACCAATGCCTAAATTGGCATTCTCTTTTGCTAGTGATATGTCCCAAGAACAAATCGGTACTTGTCAAAAGCTACTATAAAGCAATCCATGAGATGAGTCTTTGGAAAACTCGGCCCAATTCCAGAAAAACATTACCACAACTGCCAATGACATCACCCGATCAGTGTGCCCGCTCAACTCTCTGATGCAACCCCACGTGGCAAGGCTCTAGATGCGAATGACTCCAATAGAATCCCCCGAAATCAAAAAATCGCCACTGACTGCCATAGACCACACCAAAATAGAGCGTTGAAGCACTCGCTGGCACTCCCCATCCCCCATCTCCATATAGCATGGTCATTAGATTTGGAGAACAAGAAGCAGTCGTTGACGGCCAATGAACGCACGTAATCAGTGTGCCCTTGGAGCGATATGTGACATTTGTCCGATTCGATTCCAAGATGCAAGGGGCACACAAGTATCGCCAACGAACATTAGCTTGGACATTGGTATATGGACGATCATTGGAGACTGGAGTTGCTGCCAAAAAACTTATTGAAGCGATTACCTGATATAGTATGTCAGTTTGCTAGTCAATGTATTACACTCTTGTGATAGTTTGATAAGGTATTCCTATACTCAATGAGGATATCAAATTTTCTGATTACATATGCATCAAGACACCAAGCGAATTTGCACAACAAACCCAGCCTTTAGCTTGAAGTAGGCGGCGGGTCTGTGCATAGGCTCGTAAGCCACGATTGAACTCTCAGCATTGCACTCCAAAACTAAAGAAGTCGAACTTACATTTTGTAGATTGGGTGGTCCCCCGTTCAAACCATAGCGTTTGCATATGGGTTACTGCAAGAACTAGAAAGGAGCGGATGCCGCTGGAAGCCTGCAGATTGCAGAGAAGGAACAATGCCAAACAAGAAAAACTCAACGCCTTTCCCACAAATAGATCCCCACAAAGGTAGAGGAAAGGCTACGAAAGCATGCCAATGTGTGCACCAATTTTGATGGCTAGAATAGTGGAGGGGACCTCCGCAGTGTACCAATAGACATGGCAACAATTGTTTCCAAAACATTTCTGAATTTCTCACACCATATGAGGAGAATATGTGCCCCATTAAGGATATGCATTGAGTAGAGCTATCCTTGCGTTTCGCCCACTTTGGGGTACTCTTCTGCTAGAGTTCTTGCTGTGGTAGTGATTCACATCGACTTATGGTTTGTAAATGGCCCAATAAGTCATTTTTATTAATTACAGCTACGATGACGCTCCCCACACGGAAAAACCACAAAATTGGGTTGAATTCGGCATGATTCTCTTGGCTTCCTGTGTTTGAGCGAGAACGTGAGACTTAGGATATTGAAGTTGGAGGTGGGGATTGGCATCTATTAAAATCAAGGGGGCAGCCACAATAGAGTCATTACAAACACCATTTTTTGCAAGTCAGACTTTTTGAAAGTCCCCATTGAATCAACGAGAGTAGGTTTTTGAGGCCGCCACTCGCTTTAAAAATTGATCAAACAATCGAAAGTTTACTTTTGTAGTGGAGCCCATTTGCAGCGCTTCATGGGTTGCAAGAAGGACTAACAATATGACTTTTAGGTAAGCATATTCTCACGACCATTTGATAATTCATTGTGGCATCCCTGGCCAATCCTTTATGGCATTCCCATGACAAGCCACTTTGCAACAACAAGTTGAAAGTGAAGCAAACTTAACATCAACCACCACAACTTCTATGTTGTTGCAAAGAAGGTATCTATACCAATTGATAGACAGTGAGAGACGGAGCTAATATCGGTATATGCTATTGGTGGCAGTTGATGACGATGGGGACCCCATCGGACAACATATATGCAAGCAATGAGAAAGGTCCGGTCTTCCCACTGCCCCTATACAACAGATGGGTTATCAGGTGGAAGCGGCATGGATTGCATTCCAAGGGGACGTGGCTATGCATAAATCGAAAGGCGGAGAGTTGCAGGCTGGGAATGAGATCTGGGGGTTAGGTGATGGGCACCGTATAGTTGAAGTCGTTGAGGGGGTTGCCATCATAGTTGCATAATATATGAAACAATATGATATGACAAAGCAAAATAGACGACAATGTGAACGGATTTTGAGACGCCAATTGATGGTATTGAGAAACAAACAAAGGATTTGAAATTTCAATAGTCAGAGTTTCTTATTCTAGAGCTTTCTCAAAGCCAGGCAAGTGAAACAAGAGGGAAAGTAGACAAGAGAGAAAAAGCATTGTTCGCATATCAAGTTGAAGGATAAGCTTATCAGTAGGAGGCAATATCATGCAATGCTTTTGGATTCAAAGAAATATATACATAGATACAATGTGTGAAATCAAACCATGCACTATGTTGATTAAATAAAGGAAGCTTTGCTCAACATGTTATGACTACGTATTTACATACAGCTCCAATCTCTAGGCTGATGGTTTGAAATTTTTGCCATAGAATCGGCTTGGCGGTAAATATAGTAAGTAACATTATTGAAACTAAGTATATATAAATAAATCAAGTTGCAATTGCAACACATTACTTGCAAGTAATGTGCTAGTTTCAGCAACGATTAACAATACATGATAGAGCATATAATTAAAACGTTCGTTTGGTGCA